GCGACGCGACGCGACGCGACGCGACGCGACGCAACACAATGAGAGTAAGAAACGCGTTTCGCGTTTAGGTTAGGCTTCGCGGTCGAAAGGAAAGAAGCTGCGCGCCGACTCGATGGTTTCAGCCACGGAGATCTGGGCGGAGTTTCGAGCTACCGAGCTGAAAGTGCACCGCCCAGCTTCGTCCCCTGTTCGTCCTTCTGTGTTCACCATTCCCCTCTACGGTGATTCCCACCCTTGCCAGGATTTCTTTCGCGGTTCGCGTTCCTAGCGCGCAAACGCACCCCGGCATATAGCCACAAACTTCAGATAGATGCGCGCCACCAGTGGACCAGCCACCGTTGCACCGCGTCTACTTACGCCCGGCCCGTTCTTTCCCATCCTTTTCCCCTTTTCGTCCTCCCTCCTTGTCCATCATCGTCACTGGCATCCTTTTTCGATCCGACTCGATTCGTTCGAATCGCATAGCCAAATCTATACAAAGACAAAGAGAGAGAAAGAGAGAGAGAGAGAGAGAGAGCTTTTACGATGTTCGAATGTATCGAGGTAGAAGGACGCGTTTTGCTGAATATTCGTAGACGAGGAAGAAGTGGATGTAAAAATTTCGTCAGGAATAGAAAGTTAACGAAGGACGTATTTTCCATGTCAATTACGTACGAACGATTTCAATAATCTCAGAACGAAAGAAACGATATGAACGACGTTTAACGATCTCGAGTCTCCTTCCCACGAAGGATTTATTTTTATCGTGCCACCCGTTGTACAAGCGACTCGCGAGGGTAAATCAGATCTCTGGCAAACAATGGGCTTCTCTTCGTATTCTTTTGTTCCCGTCTGCGCGTTAAAACTTATCAATAGCCTTTCGGTGAAATCTCGACTTGCCCGCTTTTTGCGCGCGTCTCACTCGCCGAAACAAAAGATGATGACTGTAATTTTCGCCGCACAAGTGTCTGCATTGGCAGCTGAAACGACGCGACGCCAGCCTACGTGTTTTCTGTGCCGCGACAATGCAACGAAAGCGGAGGAAGCCAGTTGTCCGTGGACGCTTCGTTCGAAAGCGCGTCCATTCAACGATGCTAGTTAGTTTACGGAATCGTTTCTATATCTCTACGATTGACAAGATTTCAACGTATTCGCGTGGACTGTGCTTGTAAATACGCAATACGAACGATTCAATGCCAAGCACGCTTTTCTACTCAAACAGAAACACGCTTCGCAACTGGAAGTAGTATCGATAATAATCTCCGCTGATTCGACACCTTGAGAAACCTATTTTAATCGCGATAATTTTCCCATAGGATTCTGTACTATTTTCTCGCGAAATAAAGGAGAACGTACGAATCGCGCTGAAATTCTGTTCCTTCGTAAGCAAGACGTGGCTAATAAGTCCCGGAAAGAATAAACGCTAGCTGTTACGCTTAATCGACAGTGTGATCCGATTATCCTGTGATTGACTACTCGAAATTTCTTCGTGTTTTGACGACTTGATGTCGTTATTAGCAACGATCTTGTCGCTGATGCTTACATACCCGATAGACAGCCTGTTATTATCGAGTTGGCGAACAAACGAAACGAGCATTAATTATGCGTTCAATCGACGTATAATCGATATAATTGATGGACAACGCGATTGCTGTTACCCGAGATCGATCGTATTCTTTTACCATTACATTTAATATTTCGCAAAGAAGCGAACGTACTACTTGGACGAATACGATGCGACTGTCAGTGCTCGTGCGTTTGAAGCTTCGGCTAAAGGATCCTACGTACCTTATTCGATGAAATCTAATTCGATGATCGAAAATGGGAATAAGGTCAAGCGGAGAGAAATTTCACTGCAAAATTAATTCCACGTTAAACGAGACCGTTCTCAGTATTTTACAACGTTACGTAATTATATACGCTGTTGAGTAAATATTTAATTACCGTTAAATTATTTGGCGAGAATAATTCCATTTAAACGCGCAAGAGGATTCATCCCGTACTTGTTCTCTCGAGTATTTGTAAAAATTAATCAACCGTTTGGAATATCGTTTTGTCAATTGCGAAATTTTAGTCGTACGCTGTCCTGCGTCTTTCGATACACGCCTGATAGTTGCCTAATTGCACACTGCAGGGAAGCTATGTGTTTGTAACGGAAGTAATTTGTTTTGCAGAGAGCACAAGTTCGCATTGCGTGGGATGCGGCGGTCGAATTCACGACCAATGGATCCTGCGAGTTGCACCAAATCTGGAATGGCACGCCGCCTGTTTAAAATGCGCGGAGTGTCAGCAATTTTTGGACGAGCACTGCACTTGCTTCGTACGAGATGGGAAAACTTATTGTAAACGCGATTATGTCAGGTAAGACGTTGCCTCGATTACGTCGTTGGTTATATCTTTGACACGCCGATTTCCTTCTTTTCATTTTCCGCTCATCTTTCCGTAATCATCGACAAATATTATCTGTTTTTTACATACGATAAACCTTCTAACCGCCAGTATTATTTCTTTTTGTAACTCTAAGCTGTTCGGAGAATTTCGCATAACTGGACAGTCGAACAAAATTTGTACGATTAAGAGTGCGTTATTTTCGACTAAAATGAGATAGAGGAACTTGGAAACCGATGGCATTCTCTCGCACTGCACTCGCTCGTGGCCATTCGCTCTTTCCGATGCGCGTTCGCCAACACCGAGATCGGGGAGAAATAAAAATAGAAAAAAAAACGATGCAACAGGACGAGCGAAAAGAAGAAGAAGAAGAAAAAAAAGAAAGAAAAGAGGAAAATAAGAACTGACAAGACGTTTTTCTCCGGAGTATTTTTATCTAACATACACGAAGTAGAAACTACGGTCTGCACGCGAGGAAATGCATCCGCAACAAAAAGCGTGGTTCACACGTGGTTGCCTCGAATTTACGCGATTCAACGTAGTATTTCGTTTCACCACGAAACTCTCGATTCCAAGTTACGCTAAAAATGTATACAATGAAATTTCTGATTTCAACGTAAGAGCGTACAGTAGCTAAATGTGTCCTTATTCCACTCGTCGCGTGACGCTTGCCGATCGTTCGAATCTCGGTTCACCCTATTTTTGTTTTTAAAGTTCGTTTCGCCGAACGATACTTTTGCAACTCTTTGATTTATTTATTACAGCGGAAAGTTAAAACGTATAGAAGTTTCGAAACTCGGGAAAGTGGAAGAAGGCGCGAGCGAGGGATGTAACTCGAAGCGAAAACGCGTTCGAATCGATGCTGGAAATCGGATGAAACGATATGCCGTTTTCAATGCAATTCGAAACGAATGGCGAGAAGAAAGACAGAAGTTTTTAAAACTCGCAGCATCGATCGACACGAATTCCCCCCGCGAAGACGCGAACATGTAGCAAATATTTTTCTGGCACGGGGACAGGCGGTTTATTTGCATTGATCCATCGAACGTCGAAAAGCGTCCGAAACGAAGAAGAAGACTGGCATATCCGGTCGACGCGGATTTGCCAGGGCTGAGCGACACCGATGACGCCTGTTTGTTGTTTCTGTCGCCTCGTACGAAAAGTCGAAACAACCGTGGGGTAAAACGTTTCCTTCTGGGTGTTCTTCGACGCACACGTCCTTGAGTAAATTTGGTTGTCGACGGATGGAAAGTAACACAGCTTAAAATTACACGTTAAAAAAGTTTTGCCGTGATTCAATCTGTTTCGATGTTACAACCACGTTGTAACACAGTATCGACGGAGCACGCGTTCGCGTTATCGATCTTTCACGAAATAATCGCAATTAATTTTTCGCTAAAACGATTTTCTACGATTTTACGTTCTACGCAAAAATCACCGCTGTGATATTATCAATGACGAGTAAATTATGAACGAAACTTGCTGATATAATTACTGGAACAACTGATAATTAACCAACCACGTAGCATCAGGATGGAATTATCTATCGCATGAAACTTTTTATTAATAAAATTCGACAATTTAGAAAGCACCGCTAATGAATGCAATTTAGTTCGTTCGGTTTCTCCGAACGAAGTGCTGCAGGCAAGCACAATTAGCTTGAAAACCGATAATTAACTGCTCGATCCGGCAGCCGAGTAAAATTTCGCGGAATTATACGTAGAAGTCGATGCAAATGGAGACAATAAATAAATTTACCGGTAAACTTACCTAAAAAAAAAAAAAGGTGATAATTTCAATTTTTATATTTAGCGGAATTAGTGGGATTTCAGATGTTTGGCGCGAGTTAGGATAAATCCTGCGATCTATTGTTACATCAGGTTTAATCCGGTTTTTAAAATCCTTCATCTCTTAACACCAATTTGTATACCTGTTTTTCCGTTACTTTCATACCGATAATTATTCGCTCTATCGCAACGTGTTCCTTATTACCGATCCTCGTTACTAACACCTAACAGCCGAAAGAAAAATAATTATCTAGGGCAACTTACTTTCTCCTACAACTGACACGTCGCGGGCTTTCCACAGCTGTCGTTAATTCGTTATCGATTTTGTACATGTTTTCGGTAATATTTTAGCCAGACGTGTAGCTAATATCAAAGCCTATACCGAGAAATTACGAGAGAAACGCGATCGGAAATGAAATTGCGAAAGAATCGTTAACACAGAGAATTCGTTTCAGATTGTTCGGAACAAAGTGCGACAAGTGCAGTGAGTGCTTCAGCAAAGACGACTACGTAATGAGGGCAAGAAGCAAAATTTATCATATAAAGTGCTTCCGATGTTCAGCCTGCATGAGGCAGCTAGTTCCTGGCGATGAATTTGCCTTGAGACAGGATGGCCTCTTTTGTCGACACGATCACGACGTTCTCGAGGGTGGGAAACTCTGCTCGGGGCCTGGTGGTGTTCCTGGAAGCGAGAACAACAACAACGCGTCCCTTATGAATAATAATCATCATTTGCACCCCAACGATGGCTCGATATCAGGTAAAGAAACTTCTGTCTCTTTCGTCGTTTTCGATCTACGCGACAGGAATGCACGTACGATGAAATTATTTTCGCACCAAGCACGAACAACGAGCGATACTTGATCGCGATTAGGAGGAATCGGTACTGTGATCTTCGAAATTATTAATAATAATTCGTGTGATTGTGCGAATAATCATCCTACGATGTTAAAGATGCTACTAATTTTGTAACAAGAGCGAAAGATTGGGAATCTGTAAACTACAATTTCACTGATGTTAACGCTTTCAAGCTTGCGATGGCCACCAACGCGTTGTCGAGTGCAGGCCAAATATCGATGTCTTGATATTTTGTAACACCACGTTGATGTCACGCGGCAAACCGACCCTTCGCGTAAACTTTAGAAAGATGAAATTTTTAGCAAAAAAAAAAAGAAAGGCCAGTGACTGGTTAACTTTGGGAGTAAATTTATGCGGACAGCAAAGTGTTAATACCAATTATAAACGATAACATTAAACACATTCGTATTACCATTATTAGCAACCTAAAAGATTAACCCGATGACAAAGTTCGGCAAACGACAATTTGACGGGATAACGGTACCGTGACTTTTATCGCGTCGACAAATGAGCGTAACCTATTTGCGGATTACATTGTCTGGACACGGGCTACCAGGGCACAAAGAGCAAATTTGCAAAAGGGACTTGGCTCGAGGGGAAGCTCAAAGGGCCCTTCCGATGCAACGCTGTTGTATTAGGATCACCGGTCATAATTAGGTGTTGATAATTGAAGCCTTTAAGACCCGAAAGGCTTGACCACTTCCCTCCTACGCGGCCGGATTACACAGGATTAGCGTTCCTCCAGCTAGTCCTAATATACGAGCACACACTGTCTGGAGATCGGTTGGATTAAAATATCTAATAAGGCTCGCGAGCAGATAGTAACTTAATTATATCGACGCTGTTTATTTCGTGCAACGTCCACGAATTCACAAATATAGTTTAACGAGATCTAACAGAATCTAAAGGCGACTAGCCGATTTAGCGATAGACGGATAAGCTGGATGAAGGTATCTGACGGCGTGAAAATTGTCAAAACTGTTAGTTACGGCTAGCGGATGTTTGGAAAAAGGGTTGTATCTCCGAATCTAACAGATCGTTCTCCTTTCGATGTCGTTTCTAAACGGTTAGCAAATTCGTGAAGAAATTCATGGAGAAAAATCCGAAGATTTGCGACAGTCACATAGAGAAACGTCAGAAGTGGCGATGGCTTATTATTTATACATGGCCGCGTCTACTATTACTAATTCATTATTTACACGTAGCGACGATAAATTATATTTGGACGAGGATTCTAACGACGTGGTACGAAGCTGGTTAATCGGTGATAATTGAAAATTGCGTAGTACGGGACACAGGGCGTAGCTGAAACGTTCACTTCTAATTCTCGCGTAAACAATTTCATGGAGGAGCGGCGCGAGCCGCGTATTTTCCATGATGTTTGTCACTTGGCTTCCTTATGGAAATGGTTGCGCCTAAACCGTCTTTTCCCGATGCACGAAGCCCACGGGCCACGCACCGGCGACGGCAGTGGTTTGACAACTCTTTACAGGGGAACCGAGGTGTCAAATGTAGCACCTCTCTGCCAACTACCGTGGCACATAACTACGCACGATCTCCTTCATTTCTTCTTTTTATTTATGGACGTTTATTCAACTTTTTTTCCCCAACCTCCGTCCGGGAGTCGCGCTTCCTTTTTCCTTAGTTTTAATGGACGGACCATCTACGAATTCACGTACACCGCCGTTGGATATCGTTGCTCGTTTATCGTTACGATTTTATGCCTTCGAAAGAAACGCGGATTACTATTTTTCTCAGTTGGCTTTTATCCTTTCATCGATGATCGAAGCTTCGAATTAATCAACAAACATAAACGTTTTCTACAAAGTATAACGTAAAATATTCTGATTATCTATTATATATTTCTGACGAGTTAAGAATTAGCCAAGAATCGACCAATCTTCTTTTCGACGCGAGCAAGAAATTTCTCCTTCTTCGTGGCATATTCGGACAGTAAATTCTCGCATTAAACAAGCAACGCCGTGAACACCGCCATTACCCTTTGAACCGTTCGCGATTAGCAAACTATAATAAATGCCGCAAAGTGGTCTTTAATTATAATCAGTCTCATTCTTGCCGCCGATTTCTTCCAGCGTTTTCTCGTCCACGAGTACCTACTACTCTCCAATCATTTCGACTTCTCTCTCTCTCTCTCTCTCTCTCTCACACACACTCATTCTTTCGGAAACGCGGTTCTGCCTTTGTGACCGCTTATTTGGTTAGGACGCAAAAATAGACGCAGGATTTCGTTTGCTCGGTTGCCTTTTCGTCTTACCGTCCGCAAACATTCGAAATTCGCTTTCGTGCGGCTACCAAATCCTTTCGAAGGACACCGCCAAGGAAACTGGATCCTTATCGCGGCACGAGTTACTTATTGCTCGTTAATTGGGAGTTAATGAAATTCAACGTTCGTCCCTCGTCCAGCCGTTTACATATGGGTTTCGCTGTTTGGTCGGCTAAAAAGTGTCCGAAAGGTTCGTGCTTCTTCTTCTTCTTCTTCTTCCTCTTCTTCTGTTTCTTTCTTTTTCTTTTTCTTTCTGGTGAAGTCGCTGCGAAGGAGTCGTTTACTGATCGATGAGACTAACAAGGGAGCTGAGCCTGAAAAATCGAAAGCTCCTCCTTTTCCTTTTAGTATCCTTCGTCGGTTTGCGAAGAGGTTCGACATAAATATCGGACAATTTCTATTTGCTCGTCCGATGATAATGAACGAGATAAAGCATGTAGTACATGGATATGGGGTGTTGATGAATTTTCTCTGCATAGAACATTAGTTTAAGGGTAGAACGAGATCTTGGGCTGCGCGTGTACGAGTTGCGAGAGCTCGGTTTTTCCTCGTTCTCAGTGAATTATTTTTTAACAGCTTCCAACAAAGACAATGTCGATTATACGAATCGGTATCTCCCTTTCTTTCCGATAATTCTTTCGATATGTCGAAAGTATTTGGACGAAATCGTTCTGCAGCGGACACTCTCGATTCGCGTACGATTCTTCTAAAATTTTCTGCAAATCGAAGCACAGTTTCATGTAAACTGCCGTAATCCAAACAGCGTCGACGCTCGAAACTTTTCTCGATCGCAGTCGATCTTGCGAAAACGTTACCGAAGACCTTTCCGATCTTTCTTGTCGGACCTGGTACCGATCACGGAATCGTCGCCAAAGTTTGCTCATCGACAATATTGTCTCTGGCCTCTCGGATAGTCAACAGGCATTCGTCTCAGCGTTCTCCATCCGCCATGCTGTACCACTATCCGGATCTCCCATTAGCTGGCGAAGAACGTTTTGCAGGACCGGTTAGGACGATAGTCGCAGCTGGACATTCTACTCTGCATTCTCCTGATTTAGTCGAGCTACTCTTCCCCGAGAGTTGGCTTTTTTCCAAACAACCGGCGAATCGGTTCGTGCAATAGCCAGTGGAAGCAAACAACGGAATCGCCATTCGTTTCGGCCTTTCCTTCCACTTCTTGAATTATTTCTCTCGTTATCGCGCTTCTGCCTCTTGGTATTTTATTCGACTATCGAAGAAACTTTTTACGCCTCGATTCGATCTACCAACGATACGTGAACGCGATTCGATTTATTCGTAACGACCACGACGCTTACGATAGAAAAATGTATTTATCTAAACGATACGAAAGTAGGTATATGTATAAAAATTACGATAAAAATTTCGAAAATTGTGCTTGGTACAGTGACGAAAGCGAGAGAGAAGGAAAAAACTAAGCGAAACTGCGGTAGAAAAATAGAGGCCGGAAAAATCGAGGTGAGTAATCGTGACGTTGATTTGTTCGTAGATTCCGGGTCTGAAAGCGGGTCGCACAAAGCTGGCGTGGGTGGTACTCGAGGATCGGGCGGCCATAAAAGCGGCGGCGGTTCTGACGGCAAACCAACCAGAGTTCGCACTGTTCTAAACGAAAAGCAACTACACACACTTAGAACTTGCTACGCCGCGAATCCGCGGCCGGACGCGTTGATGAAGGAACAATTGGTGGAGATGACGGGGTTGAGTCCACGCGTGATAAGGGTATGGTTCCAGAACAAACGGTGCAAGGATAAGAAGAAGACGATCGCCATGAAACAACAGATGCAGGAAAAGGTTGGCATTCGAGTTTTCGCATTTCGCTATTATCGCTTTCGATAAAGACGAATGTTTAAAGCGCGCCGATCCACGATGTATCGTTTCTATTCGTTGTCGTACTTCAAACCACGATTTAACGAACGAAGATGTTCTATATTTCAGGATGGCCGTAAATTAGGCTTCGGTGGGATGCACGGAATTCCTATGGTGGCTAGCAGTCCCGTAAGACACGAGAGTTCTATAGGCATGACACCGCTAGAAGTTCAAGCTTATCAACCACCGTGGAAAGCCCTTTCGGATTTCGCCTTACACACCGATTTGGAGAGGTTGGATCCTAATACTCCTTCTTTTCATCATCTGGTGTCGCAGGTAATTATCGTAGACATATTTCAAATAAAGAAAAAGTATCTGGTATCGATCTGGTATCGTCTACGAACGTCGATAGCGTTTAGGAGCGAATGGCATATTCCTATATCGAAGCGAACATGTGCAGTAACGTGTTGCACGATGCGATATATCCATAGGCGATTAATATAATTCATTTCAGATGCATGGTTACGATCTTCACAGCGGACCACCACAATTACCACCGCCAGGCATGCTTGGTGGACCGATGAACGATGGCGGAGGCGGCGGGGGTGGTGGTTCTTTGCCACCCCCCGGCCCACACCATCCCAGTAGCGGCGGCCCAGACATGGGGCAACACCCTGATAGCACGGATAGCTATGTAACTTACCTCGAAAGTGACAGTGACTCTCTTCATCACGATACAGGAAGTCCATAGTGTTGTGCAGTGTGGCCAGAACGAAAGTGTCCGCTTTCTTCGTGGTCTTCTTTCAATAAGTGCTTGAAGAGAATCGTAGTCTGCGAGAACAAATAGGACGATTACGGATGGCTGGAAACGAAACGAAATTTGCGTTATTAAATTGCGGCTTTTTGTGCAAGGAAACCTGACCCTTTCGCGCTTAATTTTATAATCGGAGAAGAACGCGTGTGAAACGTTGTTTAATCGAGAGAAAATCATCCCTTGTGAGACGAATTGGTGTAAAAATTCGGTTTAACGACGTGCCAGGGTAACCTAGCCATAGATTAACTGAATCCTTCGATAAGGCTAACGTTAAAATTATTGATCGACCACGCGACTGTCACGTTGCGTGGAAAGTTTTGAATTAGAAGAATTCGACAGAAATGTTGCGTTTGATTAGTATTATTATTATTATTATTATTATCATTATCGATTGTTTTTCGAAATTACCGTCGATCGATTAAAAGACAAATTTGAATTTCCACGCGTAAGGGTTAAGAGATATTGTCGTTTTCGATAGAAACAAGCAAATTAGAGGAACGATATGATTTGCAGAAACATGAGCTTAAAACAGCGGAACGAGAGAACAGTTATTTAAATTGCTATTGTTGTGTCGACAGAAACAATCGAAAATTACTGTACGATCTGTAAAAAAAGAAATACGTATCCGAAGAACTCTGATTAATTTTTAGAGCGAATAAATAAACTTAATCATTATTTAACGTAAGTATGTATTATTTTATCCGATCGTAGTTTCGTGCTCGATATTTCGTAATTAAACATTTGTGTCGTGAACGAGAAAAATTCGATACGTAATGAACGCATTCGTTCGCGAGAAATCTCAGGTAGGATATGTATAATGATTCATGAACGATATCGACGAGCGGATTTGTCGATTGGAATAATTGCTCGTTTGTTACGGAACGGTAATGATATTTAACGGAACAGGCGAACAAAGTATGTGAAATACTGCGCCAATATTTTCGAATGAAATACACCCGTGTAAAAAATCGATTTCTTCGCGAAACTGACAGTGAGTAATCGAATAATTGCGAATTAAGGAGAAATTTTATCATGATTATTGTCATTTCTAAAGCATGCGAAAGGAGATTGCAATAAAAGACGATCAAACTGATTGTATGTCGAGTTGATTTTACCATTGTATCGATGTCTTTGAACGAAATTCACCCTTATGCACTGAAATTGTATTGAATTGATAAAATTGTGATCGACGAATTTCATGATGAATATGAAAAGTGTATTTATTAATTATCGTTTAGGTACATAGGATTATTTAACTATTTAATAAATTGGAAAGGCGATTAATTCGTTTGTTTATTCTTTATGCAATTTCAGTGTATTGTTCATGGGTGAAGGGGTGCAATAAGTATAACACATTTTCTTAGGTCAAGGTATCGCATTAACATCGAAAGATATTAATGCTTTGGAATTGAATGAATCGATTAAAAGTGGTCAAAGGTGTATCTGAAACTCTGTTCTGCGCCCAAGTACAGTAATTTCATTGAGGAATGATGATTCAATTGTCCGCGATAGCTTTTTTTCCGAATGTCATTTCAGCCAGTTCGAACGACCAAAGAATGCTTTTATCACGATAGAAAGACGAAAACGAAAAGAAAAGGACGAAGCAGTGTCATCAACAGAGTTGGACAAATTTGTAAATCGCCGTATATAAAAAGTAAGAATTGACGTGGAAGAATTTACACTGATAGATAAAATGTTTACTTCGATAGCTTTCTTCTAGTAATATAATCTTTCTTCTTTTGAATTGCGGTACACTTTTTACGACATAAATTATTTTAAGCAACGGAATAATTATTAAACATTAATTTCTGCAACAGAAAGACTAGGAGGAACCATTACAAATTCCTCGATCACAAATTTTACGTAACAAACAAAATAATATTTGTCGATCGATCTAACCAAATCGATATATCAAAAAAGCAAGTTACTTTAAAATTTATTACATAATACCTTATTTATTGTGTATAACTTTTTAATTACCTAAATCATACTTGAAAGAACTTCTAAGACTATCGGTGACAAACATTCATTCAAATAAAATGTATTTTATCGGTTGCAAGAAATATGTATCTATACACTTACCTACATGATTTACTGATTATCAGCCATTTTTATTCCAACTCGTACAACTTATCGTTGACACTATTTGCAACAATTAAAAATTTCCAAATATGACAAAGTTTATTTTTAATATCTATTGTATTATCTATTACAAAATAAGAAAACAGGTTATATCGTACTTTCCAACTCTGTTCCTTCGTCCGCGTTGTTGTGAAACAGAAGTGAACGACTGTCACACTGTAAATATAGTTGTGTCCACTACATATAAATTTGAATCATGATGTACCGTCAGACGCAGCTAATTCATAATATTGATTACACGAATAGCCGAGTTATGTATAAAGGATTAAAAAAAAAACATAAAAAATGCAAGTAACATTGACGATAGCGCATTACCCCCTGATTTATGTTGTAACAAATCATATTGTAAACGCAGGTACATATGTACATTCGATTAATACCAAAGTGTGCGAAACTTCATGTGAACACGGAAACGCACTGAATTGTATTGTAAATATCGCCTCTAACCCTCCCCTTCCTCCTGACCCTAACCTCGTTGTCGCTAATTAGTGGTTCGTTTTAGTGGTGATTCGTTTAGATGTTTGTATAGAATCGTTCCATCACCGCTCCTCTCGTAATGTACATGTTTTGAAAGGGAGAACACCGTAGACCTAACATTTTCGTAATCTATTCGAATCGTCTTCGAATTTGTATAATATTTCTATACCGGCGCACACGTAATAAACTGTCCAATTAACTTATTTGTCTTCCAATTAATTCACAACCTTTTCTTCAATTTCTCTCTTTATATCTCGAAACAACTTGATTTTATAACATTCAAAACGTATAATAGAGATAACAATAAATACTTCCATTAGCAAGATATTTCGTAGCAATAAAAGATCATAATGTTGTCTCATATATTTTATTTAAATTACTAGGAATTTCTTGTACAATTAATTGTCGCCAAAAGTATTACAATAAATTTTGTTCAAGCTAATTGTTCATTACAAACAACATTAATTATTCGTTATAAATATTGTATATATTAGATATTTAATGAAAAAAAATATATAATTTATCATATTTAGTGTTATTTAAATTATATTATTGATTTTAAGGAGTATTAATGAGCAAACATACGTATAACGTACATATGTTGTGTGATGTACCTTTAAACATATTGATTACACCTAATTGAAATAAAATTTAGGAAGCTAAATCAAGAAAAAATTGTTTTCTTTATCGAGTAAGACAAGAAATCAAGAAAATTGTTATTGTTATAGAGGAATTACTATAAAACTTTAACATTGGTATAATAGACATCCATTGATTTTAGATGCAGAGTACATTGCAAAATGTATGACCTAAATAAATTCTATTGAAAACTGAAAAACAGAAGAAGAGAAAAATTAATATACAATTTAAACTACCGTACTATAATATACCGAACCAGGTATATACGTAGAAAACATAGTTATTCAGACGTAGAAAATAGTATTTCAAATCTTAAATTTGTATCATTTATCAATGAGATTAAGGCTCCTAAGTATTACGAAAAATAAATGCAACAATTGTATCGATAAATGAGATACAATCCGGGATTTAATCGACGTCAATGAAATTCAAGCCTATTGAGCAGATATAAGACAGTGTATAAAAAGTTACAGCAACGATTTTTCCAACTTTCATAACTAACATTCTAGGGATTTCACTTGGTGATTTATATTATATATAAATCACACAGATCTTTACTTATGACAACCCTTAAGTACTGCCTAAACATTCACATAATTGCTTAATTGTATCTTACACATACAACAAGAACATACTAAATACATATAAATATTAAATAATGTTTCACATAACTATGTATATATCCAACATGAATTGTGTGTATATATAATATATATGTATATATAATATTATCTAGTCTAACATTAAATAATAAAAACAATCTTGTACATTGATGTAATAATAAGCGTACAGTATGAGTGAGCTTACAATTATAGGAATGTATATCGCACGAAAGATGTGGAACAATTATTGTTCTTTGTCAGTTTCAATAAGAAAAGATTTTTATGGCATACTTTCCAGACAACCCTTGATATGCTGCCAAGCTTGCAATCCCTGTAATTATTTATAAAAACATTGATTCATCTGTACAAAGATGGGTAGTAAATTAGTTAAATAATAATATGCAAAAATGTTACCTTTCTAGCAAGTTTAAATTGTAAAATGCAGTAAGCTGCCAAAATTTCTTTTAAATCTACCACCTTTTGGTGTTGAAATCTTTCAATGTCCATCATTGCTTTAATAGAGAAAGACCTAAAAACATTACATGTAAAATATAGAGAAATGTATTATACATAGTTTCATAGTATACTTTTTACATGCTATAAGTATGTGTAAAATATTTGATTAAAATATATTACTTTAAATCTTCATCCACCCGCTTGACCGCTTCTTCGTGTTGTGCAATCCTTTGTTCTAACTGTAGCATTTTTAATTCACGAACTTCTTCTGTATCCACAGATACAAATAATCTTGACATTAAACCAGATTTACCTGCAATAATAAACTGCATTAGCTCTAAAAATTCCCATATTTGTAAATTGAATGGTAATAGTACTTAGTATAATTTAAAACCTTGTATAATTTTTTCTTTTTGTTCAAACGCTGTGGTTAGAGCATCATGAGCTTCATCTTTGGTTAACTGTAAAGCTTCTCTTCGTTTAACAACTGCTTGTAACGCAGAAGCACCAAACAACCATTCTTTCAACTGATCTGCTATTAGTTCCTCTTCTTCGAGGGTTGTATCTATCGTAGCTGCTAATGAATCCAAGTAGTGACCCGATTTCTAAGAAAACAGGTGCTGTAATGCAGTGCGCTTTGCAATATATATACTTGTAGCATAATTCCATTATGTTTTATCATTTAGAAATTTCTTGCAAAAATTGGTAATTATAATGTTTCTAAAGATATAAATGTTAAGAAATATTTATAATATATATAAAATTGAATACCTGTAGCCCATCACCCATTTCTCTTTCTATGGCACTCCATTCACTAAATACACGACCATAATTTGCATGTAATTTGTACAAACTGTGTTGTTTTTCTACAAGTCGCGCACGTACTCGAAGAACATTACATAAATTATTCTGAAATATTAAATGGATACGTACTACTATAAAAGTTTACTTTTTCTCAATGCTGAACATACCTGAAGTTCAATTCCATAGTTTTTGATTGTTTCAAATCGCTTATCTGGTTTCCTTAATCGCACTGCTACGCTCAGTGCCTTTAATTTTGATTCTACTAATTGCAAATAACCTATCATAAAACATTAATAATTACAACACTCATTATAAATGTATAAATAAATAATGATATAAATAGATAATAAGATAGATACTTCTTTGACAGAATGTACCTGTTTCTTTAATGCTTTCCCTCCAACCATCCTTTTGTTGCAAAAATCCCATGAAATGCTCATCACGAGACAATATAGGATGCGAGGCTACCCTCAATAGGAAATTCTTAGAAATACATTTGTTATAAATATCAAATACATATTTTCAAATAAAGAAGCAACGAGTAAATGTAAATAGTATACCTCAAGACCAACTCTTCGTCTGTCAACAAAATCTGGATCGAATGTATCAGTGGTAACCTTTTGCCATGCATATAAAACTTTTTTTTCTGGTAATGGAGGCAGTACAATATATGGATAGGAAATTTCCAAATAAGCTCGGAGTAGTTCAAATTCTGTGTATCGACGCCATAGAGAACTTATTTTGGTGAGTGCACCTTTAAAGCCTGGATCTGTAATTCTACAATAATATTTAATATATATGTATATATTTCATAGATGTTAAAGTAACTTTTGCAAAGAGAGACAATTTAAAATTAAATGTACACAAGCTTGAAACATCCACATTTTAACTTTATTAAGTAAAGAATAATAGGTTCACTTACTTAGTCTCAATGAGGTAGACTGTATAAAACTCTCTTAAATTCAATGCTCCATTTGCACGCTTTTCGGTTTCAACTATAGAGATTTCCATGTGATCAAGCAATACATCCTAATATAGAACATAAATAATGAATTTAAGGTATAAAAATACAACTGTTTTATTTTTTATATTATATAATTTATGAAAGTAGATTTAAAGAAAAATGACAAGTACAAATAAATAAAACCTATGTAAACAATTATTAACAAATATTAATAACACAATTTATTTTTAATATTAAGAATCAAAATTAAATCATATTCAATTAATACAAGGAAAACAAATGAACTATTTTATATTTATTAAGTTTCAAAATTAAAAATAAAAAATTTTATAATTTGCATTATTATCATTAATTACTCAATAAAATAATATCTTGCAATAATATCTGAATTTAAATTGGTTGCATGCTAATTCAAGACATCATAGGTTTAAATATCTTTCACAAACGCGTATGTAGATACCGCCAACACTAGTATAGTGGTACTCAAACGGATAATTCATGACCTACTTTGATGCTTCTTCAAATAAATTAAGAAATCTGTATTTTCTACTGTAATAATGCAAGTAATTTCTTTTAAGCGATCTAGTATCATTTATTTTATACATATTATACGTTTAAGTAACACAAATTTATAAAAATTGTTTAAAGCTAATTTATACAACGAAGGTGTACTAGAAAATTTGACATATTAAAAAAATGTAGCATAAATTAAACAATAGTCAAAACATAGATATAAGTTATTAAAAGCAAAACTAGAAAATAAGGTCAATAAAAAAATAAGAAATTTAGAACAACAATAACAAAACATGAGAATCACTGCGCGTCACTTCGATTCTTTCGCAATATACATACGTATTCTGTGCAATTATCTAATGCTTCTTTAACTTAAACAAATATAATTTCACAGTAATTTAACTTTGCACAAATATTACGATAATCATAATACCTAGAAACCCGTTCAAATAAGAACGTGTTTAAAAATTATAGCTTCGAACGACGTATTGATTTGGCGGACGAATTGAAATGGTCAACTATTCGAAGAGTTTCTTACCTCCTTTTGTGTCTCCATAGTAGTCATGTTTGCGTTTGACTCCCTCTGATAATTCCCGTTCTGAAACACTTCTTCCATGATTCTGTATCGGCCTAAAAATCTACGAAGCGGCAAAGGAACTTCGAAGCCTTTCACATCACGTCCACTTTCTCCATTACTGACACTGTCACTTTATTCAATAGAGCGCTGTACGTTGCAGCAGGTTAAATTCCCTTTAAAACGTTCAATAACGACTCACTAATCCGTTTACGAAAATATTTCGTTAGTTCCATTAACATTTTTATTGTAATCTCAATAATTCATTCGTAGTATAAAGAATTCGTTTAAACATATTTACATCCTGCAAATAACAGCAACTCACGTAGTTTTCGGTAGTGCTCTAGGGAATTTTAAGAAGTGCGTCGAAGTCGAAAGTTTTCGAATCAGATGCGCGCAGTTGATTGAAAAATTGCAAGAGATGAAATAATTTGCGCATACACTATTTTAATGTCTATGTGCGTGTGGAAAGTCATTTCTTTATAAATATTTTTTTATAGTTTGTAGATACGTCATTAGTAAATTCGGTAATTTTAATTTCCAGAGAAATCACAAAAACACAGTGAAGGTAATTAAATATGATAACCACTGAATATATGTTTGTTTATTTGATAGAAAGAAACAACTTTTCTGAAATCGTACATATGTACTATATATATTTGTATTGCTGAGCAAACTGCAGCGTGATGGCCATTCTAGTGTTGTGATCATAACAATAAAACGTGTTTAGTATTACTCCACAGTACGTACTACACGTACCTTTATACTTATTCATCGTTTAAACGCACGTTAGTCTTAACTTCGTTCAATTAACGCTCGCGGTTTATGCAATAGTTTACTATAACCTATTACTTTTTTTCTTTTGATCTTTTCGATTGTCACATTTTACCGACAATTACCGGTAACCGGTAGCTCGTATAACGAGCTTCCGAAACGCAATTTAACCTTAATCATCGTTTCATCTTTAAATAATTTGTCCTTATATATTTATTTTACATTTATGATTTGTCCTCTTTTTGTGCAGATTATTGTTTGATCGCTAGGGAAACTTCGAAGCAGTAGGGGATGTCACAGACGATGAATCTGAAAGCTTTTCATGGACGTTTGGTAACGTTTGATTTATTTTAACACAAGCAAACGTATTTATGCGTCAGTTTTTTTCTTTTTCTGTATAATTGGTAATATTTATTTAGTATTCTACAATTTATTTAGTACGTGAGATACATTTTTAACAAATAGTGAGTAATATTAATGTAATTAATACGTAATATAGCAAAATTCTATTCACACCACTTTTTATATTTTGAACGTGTTAAAACATTTTTTGCTTGAAAATAATTTTTTAATTATCTTTTACGTGATTAGAAGATCGAACTGACTGTTAGTAAGTCTCTGATTTTAAAGATGTAGTTTTTTCAATTGCGTACGATACTTATGACTGTTAATACTAAGATAATAAGAATTAAGAAAGTAAATTCAGAGGAAAGCGAGCAATTACGAATATTGCTTCTTTTCGTTACATCGCCTCTGAATTTTACGATATTCAATAATTATTTTGCGAATTAACGACATTAATTGCGAGTTAATCTAATGATTTATTGACGGGCGAGGTTATTAAATCTCGAGGATAAAGGGTGTTTTAAAATTATATTACGTCATGCAATCATAATATTTATTAAAAACGTCACTTAGGCCATGCACTTGTCTTGCGAAGTGTTTGGGTTACACGCATACGTATATAGTGATGAGGTTACCTTATGCTACATGAGTGTAATTGTATTGTATTTACATATTTACATGATGAAAAATCATGCACCGAAAATTACAATTGACCAACGACCAGACACAGGGTGTGTATTTACAAGCGATTCTTTCAGCTACTATTAGCTGATTACATTTTAACCATACAGATTTTCGTCAGGCAATTTGCTTTGGCTTATTCTTCTGCGATTTTTTCCGTGGGAGGATGGTCACTAGTAATGCCGATACTGAAAAATTAAATTTGTGTGCAATGTGCATATAAGAATATTATGTCGTGACATTATTTTATTATTCATATACCAAAGGATTTAGGTGATTTTACCTAGAGAGGCAGAGCCAATCATAATGAAGGGGCCCAAGCAGGACAAGTCAAACAGCACTGGAAATAGTAAATTACCTATGACCGCCCCAATTCTGCCTACCATCATAGTTAGACTAACTGCCATAGTCCTGAAGAGAAGTATTAAATAAACGATAAGATACTTGACACGTAGAATAAAGAAATTAGTAGAAAATGATATATCTTTGTACCTTAAACACGTCGGGAAATTATCGACGATTACGTTTACGACACAAGCACCACCTATACTCGACATGGCTACGAAAACTGAACACAAACCAAGAATACTGTTAGTGTCTTCAGCCCAGTAAAGCGAGCCACAACAAGCAGCTGCTACAACGAAACAAGTTGCTGCAATAAATAGAAATCGTAAATTATTACGAAGATCAATATTTTCCTGTACGTTCCTGTACAAAATTTATGTGCAGCGTAGATATCTCACCTATAAGTTTCTTTTTCCCTACTACAGTAATGAGCGTGCCTGCCAAAGTATATCCTATTACACCGGTAACCGCAATTACGATAGAATTAATGAATACTTTCGAGTTCAAATCCATCTGAAATAAAGCACGCGTAAAAAATGATTGAAATCTTCAACGTATAGAAACAAAAGCCAAAAGAGAGAATTAATAAATCCTTCGTAAGTACGCGTAACAAGCAACGATGTACGTTGTACAATCTTAATTTACAGCATCGCAATGTAAAAAACAAAGAAATGTGTGCAAACAAGGAATGATTTATCGTATTTGTATGTAAATAACGTAATACCGGTACGCATGTGTGGACAGCATTTAGAGTTTCGTTTACAAAACTCGTTGAGAAACTATGATTGGCCCCTTGTTGGCCTAACATGTAACAGAAGCGCGGCTGCGAGCTCGAATATTCGTATTTCGAATCGTCATTCTTGAATTGTTCCATCATTGTGAATAATTGTGGCATCCATAGTCTAATCGAATTCGATCTATAAATTGAAATTTCCTCGTTGGTCAACGTTTTTCGTTTCTACTATGATTAAAGTCACTGATGAACGTTGACTCTTGAGATATATTCGACATGATATAAAGAATTCAAAGAGTCAGCGACAATGAAAATATGTTTCAAGAAAAGTTCAGTTGATCTAACTAACCCTATCGTGGCACCCAGTTGAATCATGCCGATTGCGATCAGTTTGAAGATGTTTGGTGATAGAAAGAGTGGTTTGATCTGTTGCCAGCAGGAACGTAACTTGTCCTTTATCTTACTGTTACTCGCCAGCTCAACGGAATACTCGTCGTCGATATCTTTTATCTGAAAATGAAGGTCATTTCGAATTGGATTTGGTATCAAAAATGAACGAATGAATGATCACGTTAATGTTATGCAAGGAGCGAGCATGAGTGGAAATATAACGAGTGTAATTGGATTGTTTCGAAGTGCAATTTGCAATTTTTCGTGGAGAACACTGAAATATCGAACATTGCTTACTGGATATGTGTCCGGATCCTTGCCGGTGTTCACCGAGTATATCTTCCTGAAAACTTCAAGAGCCTCTTCTCTCCTGCCTTTCAGCAAAAGAAAACGCGGGCTCTCGGGGAATGCGAAGATCGCTAAGCAGGCAAGAAACTCTGGCAACGAACAAATCGCCAAGAACACGCGCCATGAACTGATCTTTACGACCCCGGTCCAAATGTTAATGGTCCATTTTTGCGGTATGATTAACCAGGCGATGCCTGAAACCAAATATTTTCCCTGTTTTATGCGGACGAACGTAAAGTAAAATAAGAAATGAAATTGAACATCTATATTAAAGACATTAAAGAGTTTATCCCAGTCGACACATAGAATATTCTTCTATCTTATAGACATTCGGTGTCGTCTATTCGTTAATCGCTCGTCATTTTAATATCAGTTGATACAGAGATCAGAGAAACATCGCTATATGAGCGTATCGTAATTTTCCTACGATGAATCGCTTCAATGGTCAAAAGGAGTAATTTCCACAGCTATGTAAACACATTAGAAAAATATGAGAGCAGGATATCGCGATTAAAGGCTACTCACATGGTAGAGAAATATTTCCAAGCGAGAAAAACACCCCTAACCACATATAGGTTCGAGATCGCTGCGCATCGTTGTGAACTTCTGCCAGATAAGACATAAGAGCGGCATACGGGCCGGACATGCTGCAAGCGTGCAAAAATTATTATCAAAATTTGATATTTTTTGAAAGAATCAATTTTAGCTGCCATACGCATCGCCAATGGTATTAGTAGATTTGTAATTCTGTCTTAAGCTATGTCTTAGTTCAACGTAGTTAGTTAACGTAAAGGTAGATACGAATCGTAGCGATCGAAGTATCAATGATTTCATTGAAATGATCGTTGCATCAACTTACATTACGCCATCGAGAAACTTGAACAAAATTAAAAGCCACGAAGTATGCGAGAAACAAGCCGTCAAACTCATGATTCCGGCGACCATGTAACCGTAAAACATTATCTTCTTACGACCAAACGTATCGGTCATAAATCCCCAGAAAAATGAGGTGCTGATCATACCTGAAACCAGCCAAATTTTCAACGATAGTTGGGTAGTTGGATTTCTCGGTTGATTTTATGATACGCACTTTATCGATATGAATCATATTACGTTTGTTCATTATATTCACAGTAATTTGAACGGTTAGGCGAAAAGAAAAGAATTTCGAAACTGACTTTCAAAGAATATACATAAGCATATGTTTAACAAATTATTCCCCATAGGAATAAAATGTATGTACGTGATTGATTAAATCCTAAAGTTACTTGTTACGACGAAAGTAATAATTAATGCAATTCGATATAAATTTTGATGTAAATCGTGATACGATAAAAATGAATAATCTCCTTATTCGAAAATGAATCAGAAACGAAGGATGTTGTTTCCCGATGAAAGATATCGTTCTAAACAAAAGCTATTGGAATTGTTCCAGAAACACAGATGCGGATATTATGCATCGTAAATCATATTGGTTATGTTTGATATAAACATTGATCTTTCCGTGGGACTTTCCGTTTTCATAAATTCTCATATCTCTTTTACCTGTTCCTATCGTTGTCATGATATCAAGTTCTTCGCAGTATACTGATATCAAGCTTCTCCGTTAGAGAGTTTTATTAAAGGTGATGTTGTGCGTGGCATTATCAACAAGTTATTAATTAATACAATAAAGAAACGATAAGCTGTCAAAAATTTTATTTTCTCAGAATACCGCGTCTTATGCTGTTCGATTCCTTTTGTAAAAATTGTACGGTCTTCCTTATCGGTTCCTTAGCAGTGACAAAACTGCTTCGATAATGAAATTTCCCGATAATAGAACAATCACTTTCCTGGATATGAAATTTCATTTATTCAAACACAGTTTAGGATTAATTGATAGTTTCTTTAAGTATTTATGGATCCAATATCTTTTTAGTTGCTAAGTCATAGAATTGTTTCAACGCAAGAAACTGCATAGAGTTACATTCTTTTTCCATTTCGATTATCCAAGCCCTTTTTTGAACGTCACGAATGCTTCGGTACGAGAAGGAATCTCTTCCTTACCACTTTTGTTTGTTATTTCCATTTGCGTAAAGTCGTCGTTATTATCGTTTTTATCGCAATGAAATCATTTCATTGCATCAGTATATTTACGGTTTCTCTACTGTCGTTGCCAGCATCACAGGGATCGACGCGCTTTAGATCATGTTTTTATTTTTCGACGTCTGTGACTGTGGTGGCTTTTCCAACACCCTGCACTTTTGCCAATTCTCTTGCGCTTACATCTTTCGAGTTCTTCGATCGTGTCGTTAGTTTCGTAGCAAATTTTTATAATTGGAATTCGCTCGATCGAATAAAGAAGAGAGTACACTCTGCGTACGAACGCTAATAAAACATGTACATATTTGAAAGGGAAAATTCCGTTACTGGAAAATATTATGTTCGGATGTATAACGGAGATTAAAAATTAGAAACTCGTAAAGTATCTCTTCGTTTCTGATTCGAATGAATCATAAGGTAACCAATGCGGTAAACAGTGCGGTTTAGACTTTTAATTTGCAATAATCTTAAACAGGTCATAAAATAATCCACTCTCTTTTTCTTCAAAAAAATTCCCAACATCTTAAATCCGATAAACAGACCTTTTCAAAGTCTTGCTCTCTTACCTGGCAAACAATCGACAATCTAAATTACGTTACAGTAGAAATAAAGACGGAAGCAATTTTAAATTACGAGTCGAACGATCGCTCGTCGATCTCGAACGCGATTTCTCGTCGCTTGAAAATCGTCACTCGAGATCGTTGCCCACGCGGACCACGTAACCAATGCACGATGAAGTACAAGAGTGTGTCATTTAATTACCATGTCCGTACTCGTACAAATACATTCCCTAACGAGTCCGTAGCGTACACCATGTGTGTTCTAACCAGAAACTCGAAGCGTACCAAATGCGCGCTTTGACTCTCTGTGTCTTAAGCTCAACCTGTAATTACAGTCGCGGTTACGTGATTACGCCAATAAATGAATATACCACCTGCGAACGTCATCGAGTTGAGTAGACCCTTGTCGAACATGGTGAGCCTCAAGTCGCACTCGGCCGATGGTAACACGTACGACATCGCCGATGACGAGAAAATACTGGAGAAACTAGCGGGCAACACGGCCAACAGCAACAAGTAGTTGAATTTTCCATAGCCTGTCGAAAAATTTTGCGTGTACATGGAAGAATGCCAGACGTCATTCGATCGATGAAAGATTCCAAGGAAAGTCATTCGATTGGATTCGATTCTAAGTCGGATTTCTATCTCTCTCTCCCTCTCTCTCTCTCTCTCTCTCTCTCTCTCTCTATATATATATATATATATATATGTACATATATAATAATACATACATATATAATATATATATATAATATAATATTTATATATATATTTATATATATATAATATATATATAATATATATAATATCATATATATATAATATATATATATAATATATATATATACATATATATACATATATATATATATATGATATTTCTGACCGTTTGCTGTTCTTTATCCTTAAAAAAGATGCTCGTTTCGATGTGAAATATCTTTACATCGAGGAGCATCGTTTTGTTCGTTTATTTGGTAGATGTTACGAAGGGAAAAAAAGATAAAAATTCTTTGAGAAAACGAACAGCTCAAAGCTCTTGGAACGTCACTCAGGAACGTTTATTTCCTTTTTGTAATTTGTATAGTTGTTTCGGTAATTATATACGTGTATATGCATCGTTCAGGATTTAATAGTTTTGAAAGATAAAAGCAAAATAAGCTATTAGGCCGTCTGGAATTTTTACGCGTTTCCTTTTTTGAATTTGAAACGCGCGATAGCGATTGA